CTTTTCCTTTTCTGAAATAGTTTAAAAAGAAATCTGTTTTCCTTAGCAGTAATTTGTAGGCAATAATGGCAGAGGGAAAACAACATGCATTATGTGTGGGAGTAATGAAGATGTCAGCTGAGGACATGTAAGTGTTTTAAAAATTGAAATATAACCTGTCCCATGTCATTATTCTTAATGTTAGTTTGCAATGTAAGCACCACTGTCAAGGTTACTGCATCACTGTTGCAGCATGTGCTGTTCAAGTACAGAGTTTTTTAAGATTTCGTTTTGGTGATTGGTATTCCGGGAGAGAAGAGTAGGCAGGGAATATCTTCTGTACTTATTTGGAATCAAATTTCATGTGAATATGAATTTTAAGGTGCACAGCATTAGTATTACTGCTGAATGTTAGTATTTCTAGAGCTCTGATCATACTTTGTCAAAGATCTTGTTGAACAAAGAAATATTTGTATCAAGTACCCGAGCTGGGCAAGAGATGCAATTTGAATTTGAGAGGATTGAAAATGTTGAAGTGATTTTTGTGTGCAGGGACAGGGAGACTGAAGTCATGCTGGTGTTTGGCTGCCTGTCTGGGCTTTCCTCTGTGGCCTGCCCTGTACCCACACGCAGCATTCCTGCTTGATGTGCTGACTAGCTTATCTGAGCTTTTTGTGAAATGTAGAGGTCTGTTCAGGGGATAAACTGAAAATTATTTGAGAAGGAAAAGGGATAGAAAATGGAAATGGGTGCTAGTTGTTCTTGGCTTTCACATAGTGCAATATTTTAAGTAGCTAAATCACCTTGTCATTTTAAGTTCTGTAAGGTCTTGCAGCAGGATGTGAGGGGCACCCAGCGGGTTTGGGCTGGTTGGTTCCAGCCCTGTGTGCCATTTGTGGCAGCGAGGAAGCTGATTTTGATGAAAACAAGTCACTCTCTTCTGTGGGGATAATGCTCAGCAGGATCATCTCCTGTGCTGGGTGACTCTGCGGTCCCAAGTCATAGTGGTGGCAGCACAAGAGAGAGAGGGAATGTGTAACAGAGGACAGGGATAGAGTGGGACTGGAGCAACCTGGACTTGGACCTGCTGCAGCTGTTGAGAAATTATATCTCTCAGGATTCTTTGTAGTGCTTCAAAATACTCTAAGAGTAAGCGGAAAGAAAAGCTACTAAAGTGTCCCAGCCCTCAGTGTGCAGGGATATGCTGTGATCATGGCAAGCCAAGGTTATCTGTGTTCCTAATCCTAACTTCAAATTCAGCAGCCTTGCAGCTGAATATCCTGTTCCTGTGAGAATTATGATGAACTGGAGAGGAAAACAAAGTGATACTGATCTCTGTAGCCTGTTGGCTGCTTTTTTGTGTTACATTGGTTAAACCAGAAAATTGTGGAACAGTGTGATTGTGGTCTCTCGGTGTGATTGCGATAATTAATGTGTTAATTCTGGGCTAGCAGCATTTTCCTTCCTGATTACTTTTGGACAAGCTGTGTAAGTAATAGAACACTTGGTGTAAATACAGTAAATTATATTCTCCAGGGGAATGAAACTTGTTCCCACTCCTAGAATGATGAAATTTGTCTTGTTTATTGTGACAAAACTAGATTTTTTTTTTTTTGGTGGAATAATGTACTGGAAAAATGATAAACACAAATTCAGTGCAGACACACAGACTAAAAATTTTTAAAACATGACTTGACTGAAAAGATACAGAGTCAATACTACGGAGGATGGTATGTTTGTAACATGCTGCAAGTCCTTGGCACATAAATTTAGCATTTTTAATTCTTTCTTAAGTGGGTAGGTGACCTGCAACCAGCAGCAAGGCAACTCACCTGTGTTTGATTGTGTTGGTGGCATACTTGGAACCAGAACTTGTCAAATTTCACATTCCAGTCATGTTGTACCACCTCCTGTGCTGGGAGGGGGAGACTCACAACTGCTGTGCTACTTTGGTAGAGAAATGCTAAAATTAAAGAAAGTGGCAGAAGTCTGAAGAACTGTCTCCCACAAAGAAATAGCAAAAATACTGTGGAAGGCTGTTGACAAAATGTGGAAGGCAAATATTGTCCTCTTATCAGTCACCAATGTGGGCAAATGTAATAACAAATATTGTTTCTTGTCCACCTGCAGTTGAAGATAATGATTTTGTGATTATTAGCTTTTCCCCTTCCAGCTGACAAATGCTGCATTTTCTACTTTAAATATTATATTTTATACTGCTCTAATATTTCACCTATCTAATACTTTTGTACCTTTTTCCTCCTTCCACAGTGAGAAGGTCAACAAAGGGATTGGTATTGAAAATATCCACTATTTAAATGATGGCCTTTGGCATATGAAGACATACAAATGAAACAAAAGGAACTGTTACTCCAAAGGAATGCACTTAGATTAAATGTGGACTGCTTTGTAATTCCTTGTTTTTAATGTGACTGAATGTACAAATTATTTTGTTCTGTGGCTATGCTAAATAAATCACGTGAATGCAAAAGTACTGTTAGGCTACAATAGTTTTCTAGATTTCTTTTTATTACAGTTATTTTGTTTTGTCTTAAACCCAAGTCTTCAGTGACTGAAGATACCTGGTGGAAAGATTCTGCATGGACTGTGAGTAGACTATTTCAAACAGAAAGGAGGAAAAAGCCAAGAAATGTTTACATTTTTGTGCTCTTCTAAAAGAATAATATAAAGTGTATGTGAAATATAAATACAGTTTTTAAAACCTCTGAAACATTTCAGATTTTTTCTTCTGATTAACATCTTGTTAGTCTACGTGTTTCTGGAATGTGGAGAAATCATTTTTTTTGACATTATTTTTTAACTTATTAACAGCATTAACTTCATTTTACTTAAGGATTTTCTCTTTTTTAATATGCATTTATCTGTATAGGATTTATGAATTTAGACTGATATGTGGACTAGAAACTTTTATGCTGGTTCATATCTGAAGACTATAGCTATGTTCAGATTTCTACCTGCCAACACTTTGAGATTGCTCTCTTTGTAGTGGAGTTTATAGTAATGGTGGGCAGGCTCCAAAGGGAGCGTGTGCCACCCCGGTGCCTGACGCTCTCTACTCCCTGTTTGCCGCCTTATTTTAGGAGCAGAAGCAAAATCACTGTTAGATAAAGGCATGATAGGAAACCATGGTTATCAGTGTAGCCAGGAGCAGCTTCTTCAGGTGGAACTTCAAGAGATCTCAGCTTGTGCACACTGCCACACGTACCTACAGCTACGGAATGGGTTCAGGAGCACTGTGTGTTTGTCTGGGTAACCCAACCCTTTGTTCAGCAACTGCATACCCAAAGCTATGCTATGGAAAAATGGAATCATGTAATAAACTAAGGAAACCTTAAGGTCTACCACTCGTAACTGTCTCTGGGAGCATTTATTAATATTTCAAGTCTCTAACACATGCACTGTGCAATGGCAGAATGTAATTTTGTGTGCCCGTGCCTTGTCTCGGTGCTGTTCTGCATGTTTGGTTTCCCCACCCTGGGACCTTCACAGAAGAGAGTGGCCAAGGAGTTCTCCATCTGATTCTAAAGCCAAATTAAAATGTGGGAGACGAAATATATTACGAAATATATTACTTTAAATATATTATTTAAAGTAGCATGTGCTACTTTAAAATTTCTCCTGTAAGATTGTTTACGAGATTGTACTTCTGAAAATGGCAGGGTAAATCTGAAACTATCGATGTAGGAAGGCAAAATTTAAGCAGTGTAGCAGAAAAAGTTTCATCAAACCTCAGAACTTCAGAATGCTGATGGACATTTTTATGCATCTTAAAGGTCCCACTATAAATGTACTAATTCCTGGTTAGTGCTATGTGAAATCAATTTGTGCTTCAGTGTTTGTTTCTTTTCCTGTGTAAAACAAGCTAGCCTTGTGTTCTGTGGCTTTTTCCCTTTGCATTGTCTCCTCCTGTTGTTTTACAGTACCTCTCAAATCTGTGACAAATGAGATTTATTCTCATTTGAATTGTTCACTGCCATCCTTTCTCCTATGACTGCTGTTGCTATGGGGGGGTCAGAACTGTCTTTAATATCAGAAACACTGAAATGAAAATTTTACTTTCTTCATCTGGTTGTGTCAAAGTATTCCCAACAGTGGGTCTAACCTTTATAAATTATTCTGTAAGAAGATACAAGTCAAATCAGGCTTAAATTGTTTATCAGTTTAGCAAAACATCAAAAATACAGGTTTTATATAGGTTTTAGCAGCAATCATGGACATTTGTCTTGCTCTTTCAGCTGAGCTCTGACAGGACCAGAAGGTGCATCTTGCCTCACCTTTTACACATTCTGAAACAGCTGAGCTGTGGGAGCTTGTCAGGGGGTCTCAGCAGTTGTCTGACCCTTCTTGTCAAAAAGGAAGGATCTGATGCTTAAAACAAAAAAAATAAGATGTGGATATTCTCAACAATTTGAAGCAGCTGTTTCACTTTCCCACCTACCCCCTTGCAGCTCAGGGTAGGGTGTCACAAACAGTCTGTTAAAGGTGAGATAACACCATCTTCTCCAGTGTTTTATGAATATTGTAGTACCAACAAAGCCTGTGATAGTCCCAGATGTAGCAGATAGATGTAGTACCTTCCTTAAGTCTTGAAACACCCACGTCAGGTCAGTGAATTCTAAATGGCGTAAATACTGAAGTGCTGTTTATTTGCACATGCTGTGAGGGGAAGGGAGTGTGACCCAGTAACTTGAGCCTCAGCTGTAAAAAAAAAAAAACCCAAACCCCAAAAAAACCAAACCCAAACAACCCAAAAACCAAACCCCAAAACTGTAACAACAAACCCAAACCCCATCACCTCCCCATCAACTCCAGTATGGGAGAGTTCTGCAGGTTGTTTTGTTGTGTTACCTGTGTCACATAAAATTCCAAGGGTGGGAGTGCAAGCACGTGCTGTTCTTTCTGCATCTTCATGTTAAAAGCCTCTGTAAATGTATCTACACTACATTTTTACTGACAATTAACCATCTACTTCCTTGTAAACACTATTAGCACCACTAACATGAGTGGAAATAACACCAAACCTTTATTCTAATACACTTATAGGTGGAGTGAAGTTTTAAATGAGCAATTACTCCTGTGCAAACAGGCTCCCTGACCACATTAATACTTACTCAAATACAGTTATCTCTTTCTTTTGTCTGCTTAGAAACAGCAGTCCAAAGGGCACTTGATATGATTATGCTGCAACTTCCTACAGGATTTCTTGCCACCTTGCTTCCTGATAATTCCTTACTGCGTTAGGAGGCTGTACATGAAGCAGCAACTGATAAAACAATGTAGCTCAACCTATTGTGTAGTTGAGAGTAAAAGAAACATCTTAAAGTTAGTCTTTGAGATTGAATCTGTAGTCAGTTTTATTGGTATACTTTAGAAAGATAAAAAGACATTCTAGAAATGCCTGGAAGAACTGAGAGAATCAAAATCTTGCAAAAATATATTTGTAAGAGTAGACTAAACTTCATTTGAATTTTCATTAATAAATATTTACATGTACAAACCCCCCCTATAAACTTAATTCCCTTTCATTATAAACATTAACAACTTCTTTTTATCATTTCACTCCGGCTCTGTCAAAAGCCAGAAGCATTTTTGTATAAAAGATTTAGAAAAAAAAATTTCTCCTTCCACTTTTGAAATGGACCTTCACCAACCCTCAGTGTGCAAAAACAACCTGTACAGCAGGACCAGCACGTGTCAGTACCAACGAGTGTCGCGAGATGAGCCGACTCCACTCCTCCCCTGGTGGCACCTCAGTCGTTGTCCGAGCCCTCCGGGGGCAAGAACGCGAGGGCATCGCTGTAGGTGTGTCCGTAGGGCCGCAGCCGGTACACCCCGTACATCATCACGTGCATGTGGTTGGGGCTCAGCCCGCTGAAGGTGATGGCCATGTCGGAGCAGCAGCCGTCCACCACCTGCTGCGGGTGGGTGGCCATGGCCTCCTTGATGAGGGCGCCCACGGATTTGGTGTTGAAGACGTCCTTTCCTTCCGAATCCTCCGCGTTCTCAGCGAACACCCCCGTGTACTTCAGGCAGATCGCCAGCTGCTTGTCCTCGGCGAGTTTCCAAATCATACCTCCCTGCTCCGGACACTTGTTGGGGTCTTCAAGAACACTGGAGAGTCGTCTCAGTGACTCGATGCTTAAGACGATTCCTCCCTCGCCATCCACATACTCGAGGTCACCAGATTTCACAGCGTGGCCGATGTAAAAAGGCTGAGAGGGGTCTTTTCTCAGCAAGAAGTACTTGAGATTTTCAACAATAGCAAATGTTGTTGGATACGCAAGAAAGAACCAGCTGAATTCATCCTTGTAGCGTTCATACGTTATCTTGTAAGCTTTTCTCATCATCACCCACATGTCTTTTGTGTTGAGGGCCACAGAATCGAACACTTTGACATTTTCAGAGCTGTAGAACTCTGCCTTGTCGCAGTGCTTGCTCCAGGTCTCCTTTGCTGCAGCCCAGTGCCCCAGATCTTTTGGTTTGACAAGAATGATACAGTAAACACGGATACTTTTACTAAGCTCCATACGTTCACCCTCAGAAAGGTTTAAGACATCCTCTTTGTCAGGAGCCTGGATGTGATGGTGCTCGTGGTCCCGCGCTTTGGTCCCGTGCCCCACCTTGATGTGCCCCAGCAGTGTAACCAACATGCAGAAGGCTCCTCCAAGCACCATGCCCTTCACGAAGGAGCTGCTTTCAGAAATCATTTTTCCTAGGAAAGAGACGCACCGTGAGACCTTACAGGAATTAAGTGCAGCAGAGCACTAGCCCATACGGGTCTAATTCATTCTCCAATTTACAAACCCAGCTGCAGTTCCCTGACCTCCCGCACCAGCACAGGGCCGGCGGAACGGGTGGCAATAAAGAGGTTCCCTGTCGCGGCTCTGGGTACCGCTAACGGTACCACAGACCCCGCGGGGGGAGCCTTGTGCCCCGGGCCCCCTCAGCCGCCGGGATGGCGCGGTCCCGGCCCCGCCGCCGCCACATCGCGGCCCGCGCGCTCCCGGGGAGCGCTCCCTGAGGCCGGGCCCCACCCGCTCCTCCCCCCCTCGCCCCCCTCGCCCCCCTCGCCCCTCGCTGTCCCGCCGGTCCCGGTGCCGCCCCCGCCCCGCTCACCGGAGCCGCGCGCGCCGCCCCTTCCTGCGCCGCCGGAAGCGCCGCGCGGCCGCTCTGGGCCCCGCGCGCGCCCGGGGCGGGGGCGCCGCCTGGCGGACTGCGGGTGGTACCGCAGCCCTCGCGGAGCCCTCGCGGAGCCCTCGCGGAGCCCTCGCGGAGCCCTCGCGGAGCCCTCGCGGAGCCCTCGCGGAGCCCTCGCGGAGCCCTCGCGGAGCCCCCTCACTGCTCCCCGCCCGCCCCCCTTCAGGTGTCCCCGGTGTCCCCCGGGGAGAAGCGCCAACCCTGCTGTGCCGGCGCGGTTGTTAAAGAAACTTACCAGTCTGACCGTCCCCGAGACGCTCTGGGAGCCGCGCTCCCGACGCCGGACACTGTCACCGCTGGGACCGAAGCCCCTTCACAGCGGCGGCTCCGGTGACCCGAGGTACCCCCGCTTTGGTTCCTCCCGCACACCCCACTCGCACAGTTGGACCGGGTTTCCTCGGCTCGACCCCAGGTTTCCTCACACGGCAGAGTCTCAGATGTCTCGTTCCATAAAGCAGTTTATTCACGGCACGGTAACACAGAAACAGCTCGATCTGGTGCCTCCGAGGAGGGACCCCAACAAAGGCGCTAAACCATACCTAGGATCAACCCAAATATATCCAAATATATCCAGTATATCCAGGATCATATGATATCAGATATATCAATAGCTCAGGTATATCAATAGCTCAGGTATATCCAGGTTCAAATCATGGATATACTGCCCTAAATTTCCAATAAATACCATTAACATAACAATATAATACAATAAAATGTGCTTCAAGCATGGTAATATGGTTAATATTTAGAGTAAAGCCAAAATTTTATTTTCTACTCTTTCTTTTCTTTAGTGATAATTGTTCCTGAGCTCCAGATTGTCCAAATCTCTTTCTACACGTTGTCTCTCGAGAAGTTACAGGTGACACCTGATTTGAAAAAGCATCACTGACCAACAGTTTGATCCCTTTTCCACCACCCTCTTCGGGAAAAAAAGAAAGGTTTTACATATTTTATCTCTTTATTAGCTGATAGTGGTGTACCCTTAGGCCACCACAGGGGTTAGGATAAAGTCCTGTATGGGTTTTCCCTATATTGTAAGGTATGCCCTGGTTGGATGAACTTAGCGGATTTTATTTAAGTCAGTTTACAATTGAGCTGCTCTGGATTTTCTGGCATCTGTCTGGGTTCCTCAGATGCCTCAGTTATTCAGGTAAGGATGTTTTTTTTAGGCTCATGGCTGTACCGTAGACTTCAAGGCTTAAGGATCTTCTGGGCCTGGGGATGCATTGCTCAAGGTTCAGGTAAAAAGGCTACAAAATAGTTACTTTGGTTGGATCAGTGCATGTCCAGAATGGCTCCATTCAGTGGAACTAAACACCAATTACACACAGTGACACAAAGTACTGTCAGCTTGTACGGGTAGTTCTGTCACTGCACTAAGGGAACATCACTCATCCTATATTTTCCTACTTGACTGCTTTTACTGTATAAAATAGGTGGACACTCAGATTGTTATCACACAGCAGAGACTGGAGGCGAGTTCAGTTTGTTTTATGTATCTCCTGTTTGCAGAATCAATTGTGGCTTTCAGGGCTTCAGCAGTTTGCTTGATCCTGTACTTTCGAGAGATTTGAGTGAGTTGCGACTCGCTGCTTCAGCTGATGCTTCAACAAATTGTTTTCCTGCATGACTTCAGTGAGGTTCTTTCCCGTGTTCTGACAGAATGACTAATGTAGCTACAGATCCTGACTGTCATTTTAATGTCTTTTCAACATTGTTCTTATCCAGCAGCAGATAAGTGAAGAGAAAGTCTAAGCATCATGTAAAGCATGTTAGAAACCCGGAGAGACTCTCTGGCTTCTCTGTTGCTTGAAATTGTTGGTTGGTGTTAAAAGGACTGAAATGGCATAGGAATGCATAAGGTCTCACAACAGCCATTGTTAAGTATTCTGGAGCTCCTTTAGACATGTGTACTCCTGTAAACTCTCCATTTCAAATTACTACAAGCAACTGTTTTTAAGAACTTCAGGAGATAAGTATTTGAAGTCATTCTGCCATTGTCTGGGAACCAGCCAAGTGTCATAGCTGAGGAACAGCCAGACCTAAGATGGAAATTAAGTGAGGAAAGCTCAGGCACACGGGAGGAGTGAACCAGGAAAACTCTGTGATCAAGGCAAATGGCCTTGCTTTAGTTTTGTATTAGAACATGCACTCATGTATGCATACAGAATATCACCAGATTTCAGCTTTGAGTACTGACTTGCTGTCCGTGGAGAAGTTTGTTAGTGGCAGTTTCATCCCTTACTTCCTACTGATCCTTTGTAGGGTCTCTACCACACTCTGGAAAAATAGCAGCCTTTGGAACCTGCAGACCTGTGCCAGGATCTGCACTGCTGTCAGAGCTGACGAGCTCCATGGCTCATTGCTTGTCTCCACAGACAGCGGTTTCCCTGCTGTTTTCTGTTTGTCTTTCTTTGCTGGCTGCAGCTGCATTTGCCTTCTGGTGCTCCTTCTTGCCTCCAAGGAAAGACATAAAACATGCTCTCACTGTGTGGTGCAAAATGTCCCTGAGAGATTGGCTATTATCAAAATATATTTGATAGGAACTTTGCTCCAATTAATGCGAAATGTTTCAGCTGACACATGAGTTGTCATCTTTCATGGGGACTGCTTGTTAATGATCACAAATGAGTGTCCACTGTCTCAGAAGCAGACTCATCTGTCTCTCTGCGTGTGCAGCAGGGAGGCTGGGCCAGAGCTGCACAGACACACTCAGAACAGGTAACTGAAGCCAGGGCAGAGCTATTGCAGGTGTTTCTGAGCAGTTAAAACACCAGCTGAGCTGTATGTCATATAGAAAGAACCCCTAACGAGATACAGTTGCAGTTCAGAGAAATGCAAAGGTAAGTTTGAACTGGGACAGCTGACTTTGCTGTCACGTCCCCCATATATTTTTAATGCTGAAGCTACTGGAAAACACACAGGTTCTACCTGTCCATCTGATTCTATCAGAAGAGGGAGTCAAGTGTGATTATGGTCTGAAGGTTGCAAACTCTCACCTTGAATAGCTGGAAAGCCCATTGGAACCAACAGACACAGTGCAGGAAAAGAGCTTTTAAGAAGAGGCCAAGTATTACTGTTCTGTCACATGCCCGGTCCTTCCACTGTTTCATTCAGCCCATAAAGGGCATAACTGAACAAACGTGTCTGCTGAGGTTTTCAGTCCTGTTGCAGGAAGGTTTGGGAATCCTTGTTCTGAAATCATAAAATAGTCAGGTGGAGATTCGAGTTAGCAGGAAGATAAAGCCAGATTTCTTCATTCCCTTCATAGGGCCCTGCTCATTTTTTTTGGAGGGAAATGGATTCCTGAGCCAAACTTTAACCACTCCTTCTGAAATTTTTGCCCTGCATCCTCTTCTTCACTCTAGTTTCACACTCAAAATCTGGAATCTGGAAAGATGTGAACCCTTTGTAGGTCATGTGCATCCTGAGCCACATACAACATCAAGATCTTGTCACAGGGGTAGGCACTGGACTAAGGAAGCAAGTTTTAAAGCCAAAAAGTGGCTTTATAATTAATACTAATTTCAGAAGTCAGTTTGAAGTATTTACCTCTGAAAAAGTGTTCTCTCTGGGTGTTGGACAAAATTCTGGAACTACAGGATGAAATTCTCCTGTATTTATAGGAGATAATGCATAATCTGATCTTTTAGCCTTGAAATCTGTTAAATTGATTAACTATGTTAAACAATAGTTTTAAATCACTTTCCTCTTTCTTCCATGAGCACTGTCAAGGAAGGGCTTGGCATTGAAATGGCTGTTATTTACATAGTGCCCTCAAGCACAGGAAGATATGTGAGAAGCAAAACATATGTGACTCCAAAAGAACTTAGCAACTTTGGATTGCTTTATAATTTCTTCAGTTTTTCATGTGTGTAGCTGAATGCAAAACCCATCTTATTCTCTGGATATGCTAAATCAATCAAGTGAATGCTAATGTCCTGCTAGCTCCAACAATTCAGCTGGAATTGAACTAGCAGAGACAATGCCCAGAGCTGAGCTGACATCATTGTGAATGACTCTGATGCACAAATACAACAGAAAGAGAATAGGAATTAGACATTTTAATGCCAACTCTCTTAGAAGCATAGGAAAAAAAGAATTATCATTGATCAAATAGAAACAGACGAGAAAAAAAAAGGCAGATATAGGAAAATCTTATATTCAAGCTCCCAAAGGAAAAAAAAAGTGGAGATGAAAATAGCATTCTACCAGAAAGAATGGATTCTTAATAGGCCTTTAAAATAAAGTGCATGAAACAGTAATGAAGTGATTTTGCTGCATCTTTAAGGAGCTTGGTTTTGTTATTCTGGGGTTATTTGAAAAAGGCCCTCTGAAGAAAATTATGGTCTCAAATTATGGCTTTTCAGGGTCAGATTGCATAAAGAAGCACCATTGTGAGCAGCAGTGACAGAGACAGCCCTGTGGCACACAGAGAAACCAGAAGGGGAACCTTGCTCTGCTGGCACTGCCTTGATGTGATTTATGGACAGTTTGTGGAGCCTCAGCACAGGACTAGGCTTGTGTTTTGGCTTACAGGAATTCTGGTCTGGTGTCTGAGAAAATTTTTTAACATTGCCTTGGTTTGGCGACGTGCAGCCTGGAGAGACACAAAAGTTTCTGGCATGGTGTTTATTGTAAAAGGGCTTATGGTGAGTAAGTGGTTATTGTTACTAGATGGAAAGATCTGTGAAGTTCTGTTGATATCAGACCACTAAGGGAAGAGGAGAAAGAGGAAGGATGGAAATAGCAGAGCATTTGACAGGCTTGAATGTCTGTAGCTTCCATGAGATGCTTTCTTGTACCAAGTGTTGACATCCCTTCATTTTGCCAAGGAAATGGAGGTTTTGAAGTATCAGATTCTCCAAGCAGACATTTGCTTTCCAATACCAATGTTGAAAGTGTAGACTCCTGAGTTGCATGTGCAGAGACAAAAATGTCTGCTAGATATGTGTTTGCAACAAACTGGAATGACTAACGATGTTAGAGCAGAACTCAGAGCCTTGTGCTGCAACTGTAGATCTGTGATTTATCAGAGAGGAGATGCACCACGGACATGAAACGCCTGGTCCTGGAGTGGGGGAAGAAGTGTTTGCTGAGGACCCCTGAAAGAAAGCTTGTTCTGTGTAGGAGGGGCTGCTGTCACTCCAGCACTGTGATCAGGTGTAGAAGCTTTATGCTTTCTGGGGAAACAGGGATGTGAGAAGTGCAAATAGCTCGGGAGCAGCAAGAAGCAGAGACTGCAGGCAAGAGAGGAGAGCGCACAAGGTCTGAGATTGCCGAGTCTGAGATCAGTGATGTGTCAGATTTCAGCCTCTTTCTCTTTCAAACAGATGCTGG